GCTCACCTGCGCGCAGATGACGTCACGCCGCAGGGCGTACGAGGCAGCCGCGACGGAGGCTTGACGTAATTATGCTGGTTGTGAGGTGGAGAGGGCGGGGCCGTTTTCCGGCGATAACCGCCGTCACAAGTACAAACGGGGGGGCTCGGCGTCACCGACGACGCTAGACGGCACGTCCTCCGCTGTTTTAAGAACGCTTTCGGGTTTATAAAGTTTACCTCGGTCGACCGACCAAATTTCCGGCGCAGAGTCGTCGCCCGCGCAGGCTTCCGAGAACGGTTCTATTTTGGACCAGTTATGGTCTTTTTTGGTGGTAAGATCTATTAAGAAACTTCTCCAGTGAGCATTCCGGTCATGGATCTAGGAAAAAAAAAAAAAAAAAAAAGAGGGAAAACAATTACACCTGTGTTTTTCCTAACGATAGCTTTAATAACTGAAGATTTAATCCAGTGCAGAATCAAATGGTATCGGGGTTAGCTCTGCGACACCGTGCTCAAATGGAAAAGCTGGACTCCAAACCGCAAGAACGAGTCTGTTTTGCCAACTCTGCTCTGATTTTCTGGCTTCGCTGTCAGGGAACGCTTCCAAAAGCAGCTAGAATTTTAGCGGACAGGCAAACGTTAACTTAAAAAAACGCTGACTGGAAAAAAACCTTGTGTTCTGTCTGAGCAGGCACTCTGAGGGGCCGGAGGTCTCTGAAAACAGCCGAGCTCCATTTCTCGGCGTATCGCAATGCCGGAAACACATAAAATCGTCTTCATCCACGCACGAAGGCGTTATAAACTGAAACGTTACGGCCTCTGCATAAGAGGCTTAAAAAGAGCGTGGAGACTGCAGTAACACAAAACGCCGTACCGCTCCTTTTTAAGAAGGGGATTCAATCGGTAATAAGCGTTTTAAGATTGGGTTTTGCTTTGGAAGACAACACGACGCGTTGGGAGAGGATGGTTTGACAGCCAGCAGTGGGAGCTGCTGCGCTGCCGGAGGAAAACCCTGCACGCTTCAGAACTACCTTTGCAAAACCTGTCTGTAGATGGCAGAGCAACCTCCCAACCCCAATATTCATTCTTCTGCAAAACATTTTTTTTTAATAAAAATCGGAACTTAAGCACCGACGTGAACCCCGATTAAGCCAAGAAACTTCCCCTCAGTAGTTAAACGTCACCGCCGCGGTTTGCCTGCCGCGAAGCCACCCGAGGGGCAGCGTACCGAGACGTGTCTGCGCAGGGTGGACATGTCCGTGAAGGTTCTCTCGCAAGCCCTGCACTTGTACGGCTTTTCCCCGGTGTGAATGCGCTGGTGCCGCCGGAGAGCGCCCTGCTGGGTGAACGTTTTCCCACACTGTTCGCAGAAATACGGACGGGTCTCTGAAGACAACAAAAACCAGGGAGGCACAGAGTTAGAAGGCAGGTTCTTTTGGCCTTGACTTTGGCAGACAAAAAGCGTAACGAATTTTTAAAAGACCAGTATTGATAAATCCCTGTTTTTTAAGGTTATGCGATAAAAGTTTCTTGGCTGCAAAGGAAAGCCTGAGAACAGCTCCCTGATCTTGCGAGGGGGTTAGCAAGCAACTACAGCCGCTCTCTGCGCCAACGTCCTTCAGAAGCACAAAACAGGCCTCGCAGATCAGCATCCGATACGACAGGAGACGACACCGTGCCCTGTTTAACAAGCCAGGATCGGCACGAGCCCTGCTTCCCCTCATCACCTAATTCAAGGAGCTTTTAAAAGCGGTTTTGGAATAAAGCGTCACCATCCAAACTGGAAAGTGCTTCAGACCCCAGCTCCCAGTGCCGTTTATTTTCCCAGCCCAAATTAGTTGGCTTCGTTACCTGCGTGGACGTTGCTGTGCTGGGCGAGCGAGGCTCTCAGGCCAAACACCTTCCCACAAACCTTGCACTTGTAGGGCTTAGCACCCATGTGGCATCGTTTATGGCATTTTAAATACTCATTGGTGGCAAAATGTTTTCCGCACACGTCGCATTTAAAAAGGCGCTCTCCTGAGTAAAGAGAGAAAGACATTCTCAGTTCTTTCAGCAGAATTTTGTACTTCAAAGTTAGTTTTCAAATGTCTTTCTATCCCTCCTAGTTCCTTCCTGCTACTTGAAGTCTCTCCTGCGAGTTACAAAACAAAGCGTGCACCTTCTTCAAATCCCCACTAGCAATTTCTAGCGGTGTAAAGGGAGAAAGCGGGCGGAAGGGACAGAAGTATTTACTGCCTACCTGTGTGGGTCCTTTTGTGGCCAGTGAGTTTGCCTTTATCAGCAAAGCAAGCTCCGCAGTCCTCGCAAATATACGGCTTTTCCCCTGTATGGGACCTAAATGAAGCGAAACACAAAGGAGCGTTGATAAATTAGCTCTTGTAGCGCATCCTTAAAATAACATATTTGAAATTACGTTCTACACGCTACGGGCAGCATGCTTCATTTTTCAAATGAAGTGGAAAAAAGTACATTCTGCCGACTCCGGAAATAGAGCGTTTACGAGTATAGGCGCTACACTAAAGCACAAAAATCCCCCATTTAAGGTTTACCTTTTCCTCACTCTCAGGCCCTACAAAATCCACCTTTATTTCACAAGTTATAGCTCAGAGTATCAGCATCAGAAGGCAGAAAGCAGGGACGATGACAAGCTGCTGCTGTGCTGGAAAGTGCATCCAGACTGCCCCCAGCCCAAGGCCAGCAGCAGATCTCCTGGGACGTTGTGGGCCACGTGCTTGGCTTCCGCAATCCCCCCGTCTCGCATCCTCTGCCCTGCAAACTTTAACTGGCAGGATATTCCCATTTTTAAGACAAAAGGCATTAAGGAAAGCCAGGCAAGCAGTGTTTCTGAACATATGCTGGACATCTGATTTTAAACTAGCTCAAATCAGGCCCGAGCCTAACGTTCGGTCTTAACACTGTGCTGACTTCCCTTATTCCAACCCTAATAGTACAATGTGCAAAAACATGGATCATTTTGAGTTGTCAGGCAAAATGCTGCAAGCGGACACGGACAGCCAGTTACCCAACACGAACCCCATGAGTCACCGTTTTGTTGGCCATCACGCGGCCAGCAGCAGATCTCCTGGGACGTTGTGGGCCACGTGCTTGGCTTCCGCAATCCCCCCGTCTCGCATCCTCTGCCCTGCAAACTTTAACTGGCAGGATATTCCCATTTTTAAGACAAAAGGCATTAAGGAAAGCCAGGCAAGCAGTGTTTCTGAACATATGCTGGACATCTGATTTTAAACTAGCTCAAATCAGGCCCGAGCCTAACGTTCGGTCTTAACACTGTGCTGACTTCCCTTATTCCAACCCTAATAGTACAATGTGCAAAAACATGGATCATTTTGAGTTGTCAGGCAAAATGCTGCAAGCGGACACGGACAGCCAGTTACCCAACACGAACCCCATGAGTCACCGTTTTGTTGCAGCCATACCGCATCCTAACAGGCAGTGCGGCCCTGCTGCTGTTCAGCTGACAGAGATTATCTTGACCTTTCAGACGCTTTGCTGGTCCTGAATCAGTATGCCTCACCATTTTTTAAATTACTGTAAGAACACTTAGGAGACAGAAGCAAGCTACTGTCCCCACTGTGCGGGTCCAGACTCTCTAGAACCACGATTCCTCTCCCCTAGTTTAGCCCTCCAACAGTTAGTGTCGTCTTATAAACTATCTGCTATGCTCCCTGTTTGGGGAAAGATGGGAAATTCCGTGGGATGATTCACCCTCTCCTGGGAGAGGACACATTTGACATAGACACCACCAGAGAGCAATTCACCCAGTCCAGCTCCAGTCACAGGGGGAGCCCAGATGAGAGGTCCAGCTTTCGTATTGCATCCGAGAAATGAAATCCCACACTAAATGAGTTGCTCAGAGCAATAAAGAGCGAGCAGGGCTCAGCACATGGGTCTCTGAGGTCCCTGACTAATTCTTCAGTCTATGCTACTCTTCATCAGTCAAGGCCATCATCTTATTTTGAAGACTGTCTCAAACGACTGGCTTTTGCTTACGAGTTCGGATAGAGCATCCGTTTCAAAATCCTTACTAAAACTGATGCAATGACCAGCTGCAGACAAAGCCTTTATGTAAAACAATTAATCACAGATACTACAGAACAAATTATACCCTGGTGTTCCTGTTACAAGGACACGCAAGGAGAATGACTCAGAACTAGCAAGTCAGAAGAGGAAAAAAGTGCTGAAGTACGCCGGGCATGCAGGGAGCGGTAACGGGAGCAGCAGTACTGCAGGCTGACCTGGTGTGGATCTTAAGCTGCGACGGCTGAGCAAATTTTGAATGACAAATGCCACATTCGTAAGGTTTTTCTCCTGTATGTGTCCGCATATGAAACACTAGCGCTGTTCGGGAGCTGAGGATCTTCCCGCAGACAGAGCAGAGAGGGCGTTTGACTCTGCCTTCGTGCTTCCGCATGTAATGCGTCCTCACATCTCTCTTTCTTTTAAAAGTAGCATTGCAAAGGGTGCAGGCAAACTGCCTTTCTTCAGTGTGGACACAGGCTCGATGCTCCTTCCAGCTGTTGTAACTAGCAAACGACTTGCTGCAGATGTCGCACTGATAGACTTTACCAGGCAAGCACTGATGGACATCTCTGCAGTGATCCACGTACTTCTTTCGGGAAACAAACTGCTCCTTACACTTATCGCACGTGATTACGTAGGCAGATTTGTTATTCACCCCACTTTTATTTACCTTCTTTATTTTAAACTCTTCATCTGATTCACGTTCTTCACCATCCTTCTCATGAGAGTACTCATCATCCTCACGGTCCTCCTCAGCACAGACCTCCTCACTATCTCTACTGTCTTCAACTTCCGAATACCCCGCTTCGTAATCTACCTCCTTCTCTCCCTTCACGCTCATTTCACCTTCACCTTCGTTCCCTTCTTCGCTCATTTTTTCCCTTCTTGCTTCAGCTTCCTTATATTTCCGCTTCCGTTCTTCTTGCTCGTTGCTACAGCCTGCTTCGGCCACGGATGAACCCCCGGGTTCTTCCTCGCGATTTGCGGCCTCTTCGCGCCTCGCACACTTGCGTCCTTCGGCCTCCGATGTCCCACCCCACGTCTCTGTGTCAGGATCTCTGTCACAGCCTGTCGTGTTTGGTCTACGCGCAGGCGGAACTACCATCCAATAGACAGGCGTAAGTTTCCTCTCTTGCCCAGACTCATGGATTTTTCTGTTAAAATAAACAAGCAACAGAGCACAACTTCGGTAAGTTCAATTGTTTCAATTCAGACATGTTTGCCTTGGAGGAAGAGTCGTTTCCTTTTAATTGTTCTTCACGCCATTTAAGAAATTAACAGCATGCTTGGAGAGCCGAACAACAGGGAAATTTTGTGTAGAGTTGGACCAGATAATTAAAGAAAATTAAAATGTCTGAGTTCATCAAGGATGGAGCCTCTCCAGCACACACATTTGTCATCTGACTAGTAACATAGGACAGACTGTAAATTTTCCTCCAAGGCCATGGTGGACAGGATAAGAAATTATGGACTTAAAACAAGGGCAATAGAGATTAAATGCCTACAGAGAAAAAAAACACAACACCACAGAACCCCTTGTAAGCCATCACTTGCAGCGTTTAACTCTACTTATCGCTACTCAGCGCGTGGAACAAGCTATGCCATTGCACTTGCGACACATCTGGAACGTTTTTTCTGCTACTGGACTGAACTACAAACAAATTTGGACATTTTTTAAAAGGGAAGCTAAGATCCAGTAGAAAATCACCTATCTCCCGTACCACACAGGCAGGGTACGAGACGTTTGACATGTACAGTGGGCTTTTGCAGTTCTGGAAACTACTGTGCAATTTCAACATCTTGTTTTCAGTCTATCTGGAAGCTCACACTACCCAGCAAAACAGCACGCGGGATATTTGGCCCGTGAAAACCATACTAAAAAGCACCACGCTGCCCCGATGCTTATGAAATGGGTATTTTCTTGTGCATTTTAAAAAGATGCCGCTTCTTTTCAGGCTCCTATTTAAAAACCCAAACCTGAGGCTTCCAAAATCACCTAAGGGATCCGGTTGCACAAGTCCCCTTTGATTCAACAGGAAATGTTTGCCTGAATTCCCAGTCTGGGAGACCTCAATCCAGTAATCCAGACCGAGAGCTTGATGAGGTCAATGGAAAAAATCTGTGCCGATTTCAACACGCTTCTGATCAGATCCAAGGAATTCTGGAACTAAAGCAGCGAGGACTTCAGGAACACTTTTATCCCGGCGCCCAGAGAGAAAACGCATTTTCCTGCGCGCGCACGGACACACAAACACACACGCGCACACACAGAGAACGCTGTACCTTACGTGAGTGTTGTAAGCAGACCTCTGAGCAAAGCTGGCGGGGCAGCGTTCGCATTTATAAGGTTTCTCCCCGGTGTGCGTTCGTATGTGGACCGTCAGGCCGCACTTGGAACTGATGACCTTGTCGCAGTAGGGGCAGGCCTGGGGATCCCGCTTCTTCTCGTGCACCCTGCGGATATGGTCGTTTATGTCCTTCTGGCGCTTAAACCGCTTGTCGCAAAACACGCAGGAGAAGCCCCGCTCATCGCTATGAACGGTGAGGCGGTGCTGCCGGAGGTGCTGGTGTGTGGAGAAGAGCTGCTCGCACGCGTTGCAGCTGTACTTGACAGCCAGATTAACGTCATGCTTGAGCTCCATGTGCGACCGGTACTGCTTAACAACACGGAACGATTCGTTGCACTTCTCGCACGCAATCTGCGGCAAGACTTTTGCCACGTGCCGCGGTGATTTCCTACGTTCGGTTTTACTGACAAATTTGGAAATAAAACTGTTTTCGTCTTCCCACTGCTCAGGCAGCGCGTTCCCAATTACTGCGCAGGCTTCCTTTGCCTCAGTCTGACTTAGGAGAGAACGACTGTTCTCGTTTTCCAGACTAACGATATCCATACCGAGTCTGTTTCCGCTATCTGTCTTGTTACATTTCGGTAGCTTTGCTGTCCTGGATTTTGGTTCTGGAAAAGCAGTGTCCTCTTGCTCCAGGCTTGCCGGTTGGCCTTCAACGAGTTCATAGCCAGCCAGCAACTTTTTATGTTTCTGCCTATCCCAAAGTTTTCTCTGCATGGGTATTGCCACAACTTGGGAAGAGTTACTCAGTTTGCGGTCCTCTGCTTGCTGGATGCGAGTCCACTGTGGCCCACCATTTTCACGCAGCTGACCTTTCAGATGGAGGCTCAAATCTAAACCCTTCCTGCCCTCTGCTTTCACTTCTTCACAAATGTCAAGCAAATCCTTGCATTCGAGTCTTTCGGCTATTTCTTTCATCCGTTGCAGTTTTTCCGCTTCAATCTCCACTTCTGCAGTGTAAATAAACTCCAGGAAGGAGGTGAACTCTTCCGTGTAGATGTCTTGCAGAGTCACTGTGCAATTCTTGGTGTCCAGCATCTCATCATGCAGGAAAAGCCCCTTGAAATAGTTGCTGGAAGCTGCCAAGACAGCTTTGTGAACCAGAAACTCCTCCTGAATTCCGAGGTGCTGTGTGTGAACTGTCACGTCGCAGAGGTGGCCGAACTGGTACAGAGAATGCAGTGCCCTCAGGAGGTTAGGAGCAGCAACCTTGGATTTCATTAGAATTTTATTTCTCTCCATCCTGCCAGAAAAACAGACAAACGTTTGAACGCTCGCTCTCCCCTCTTCCCCATAAGCTCTCTTTTCATTCACGTACGACATCAATCACTTAAGAAAAAGCTCAGTGGAGACCCACGTGCTAATTCCTAATTTACAAGATGTGGTAAAGACCTGCAGGTTACTTCTATCAATACACCCACCACCAGCAAACACGCTTGGTTTATTACAGTCACAGATTTAGATTTACGCTCTAGGATAACCCTTCAGAGCAAATATTCTGTAGCACAGACGGTTAACGGTAGTGAAATACGAGTGACATGACTGGCCCAGCTTAATAATAAAAAACAGTCTTCACACAAGCGCTTTTCAACAGCAGAGGTCACAACAATTTACAGTGGAAACAAGCATCTTTCCCCACCCATCTTGGACCAAGGGGGAACTGAAGCACAGCAAGTCACTTCCGATTGCTTCCAGGCCGGTGTTGAAACAGAGCCCGCGTTTTCACTGTCCCACCAGGCTCCGCTCACTGTGCCAGGCAGCCCCTTGTGCCAAAGCAGGGGGATAAAGCTTTGGATCTGGTTCACTTTTGTTTCTGGGTTTTTTCCCCATGTAAACAATCAGACCTAGGGGTTAATAACGATAGTTAGTACGCTTCTATTGTATTTGGCCACTTAAATAATATACAGGGACAAACTCCATATCTAGAAATAGCTACACATTTTTTGAGGAGATAGTAGCGTTTTATTTGAAGAACATTTCAAAACAGCTCCTTCTCAGTCAACACAGGGGTCAGAAGTTTTTTGACATTTTCAGAAAGCACAATTTGCACTTCCCCACCCGCTCTAGAGACAGACGCTAGCTATTATTACAGCAAATCTGATGCCCGAGAACTCTCTGGCTTTCCTGTCGCAGCCTGCACATGACACCTATACCGCTGAAACAAGAAGTCTCGTTTACCCTTGCCCATAAAGCGCAATGCTGTCAACCTTACCGAGGCCTTTAGATGCCCTGATCTGATCCTCTAAGCTGATATTCCCCAGGTTGCATAGTTTTTAAATATCTGTTATTTAGCACATGCTTACAACAGCTTTTTAACCAAGGGAAGAACATTAGGCCAAAATAAACAGGCGAATCAGCTTATTATTGCTTAAGGGCTCCATTTAAGCTTGGCTTGCTGTGCTTCCCTCTCACAGTAATAATGGTTGGCAGAAAATGACACCAAACTGTACTTTCACTTCTCATCTAAATTATGCTTGACATTATATTAAATACATTCCTAGCAGATATAAACTGTCTGATTAAGAAGACAAATGCATCTTCCACAGAAAGCACCAGGAAGTTGAATACAATACATAGCCTAGAGTGAATAGGTTTGAATGGCAAGCTTAAGAGAGAGCTTTGAGAATACTCTTCCTATTACAAGCTACGGCTGCAAGCACCGCAGAGGATAATCATCTAATCTGCGAGGCGCAAGTCATTCAATGCTTGTGACACCCCAAACAACGTTTTAAACACCGCATTTAAAGGTTTAAACTGATTTTCTAATGACCCCGTTAAGTGGCACTGGAACATGCACAGCTATGTTTGTAGGAAACGGACAAGATTTCTACTAGATATAAAATGTCTGTAAATTTGAGTTATGCAGAACCTGAAATACTTGTAGTTAATTAGGGGGTTTGGTCCTGAGAAGTCCCACCCCAACCAACGGGACTGCTTGGGATCTCAGCCTTCTCACCTAGCTGGTGCAGAACCTCCTCGCTCCTGCACTCCTCGCCGCTAGCAAGTTCAAAGATGTTTAGTTAGAGAAAAGAAAATGAAAATATTACCACATGAAAAATACTTAGGAAAGGTAACTAGAAGAAAAAGACAAACAAAGCATGTGTTGAAACATCCCAAGCAAGTTAGAAATTGAGGGAGGGATGTGCAAAATCGCGTTGTCTAAATTCTATCAGAAAAGGACCGCTTGCATCCAGACTCCTACAAACATTCAATAATTATCACAGTCTCTGCCTTAGGAATTCTGGCCAGCAGGCACCTTTAAAATGCTCCCAACTCAACATCTGCCAACTATTCCCTACCAACGATCAGCAGCTAGGCAGAGACGTAACCCTAACAGCTCCTACGGCACACTTGCAGGCTGCAGGAAGAAGCGCAGATCCGGAGGTTAATACCTATATTCAGCCCGTAAATTCACAAAAGCTTCCATTTAATCCGTCCCCTGGCTTGCCCTTCTTAATGTTTTCCAACAGGATATCCTTCTTCGTTTCCGTGCAGAACTGACCCCAGCATTGCAAAGCTCACCGATCAGTAGCGCTTAAAGAAATCAATGAGCAGAGCATGTGCTAATTTCCTTCTCCTCCTTTTTAAGATCCCCATCTGCGATAAATTCTCGATACGCGCTCCCATGTGAGCTCTGCTAACGCTAACATCTGATACTAAGCCAAACGGAGAGATACGTTCCAACATCATCTCTTTAGTTCAGCTGGTTCTAGATTAAATCAGCCCAGGAGTGATTTACTGAAATGTCTTTCCAATGAAAAATGCCACAAACGAATCAAGTCTCACAATTTTTTTTCTTCAGAAAAAAATGAGACTGTACTTTTTGTTACCGTTTGGAGAGAAAATTGAACTTTAGTTTTCTGAAGCGGTGTTGAATATAGTTTGTTTTCATGTATTACAGTTTCACGAGGTTGAGAGTAGAACACAATGCTTCAGGCGTACAAAACAGTATGTAAGAATATTTTTTTTTCCCCCAAAAAAAATTGCAGTAATTGAAGATTTCCAAGTATTTTGCTTTCATTTTGGGGGCAAGGAAGCAGCTTCTTATCTCCAAAGGATTAGGAAAGCTATTTTCTCCTTACTCTTTATGCTTCGTTAACACTTGATGACAAGAGGAGATCCTGGAGGAATTCCCATCCACAGCAACGGGAATGAGGATAACAAACGTTGCAGTAAATCATCCAGTTATTGACTCAAAAAGAAGGACATACTTTGTTTTAATTGCTGGTTAATGTTGGCTTGACATAACCCCCAGTAATCAAATAGGAAAAATAACGATAACATCATTAATAGGTTTAATTCTATCCCTCCATTTACGAACACAAAGCACCCTGGTCTTCATAATCCTAACTTTTGCTCCCAACTGCATCCGTAAACCAAGCATTCCCGAGCTGCACCCCACCCCTTTTGCTTTCCAGTGCCCTAGCCAGCCCGAATCTCAGAAGGATCGGCGCTTCTGCCTCCTGCTCCACTGCAAACATGCCCTAACCTGACAGAACAAGCTCACGGTCACGCAGCGCGGTCATGAAGGTGGAAAAAGGGCAAGGTGGCAGGAGGGGCGCGCTCTGCCGCTCCGCAACCCCTCTGCTGCTTTCTCACACCCTCAGCAAACCCTCTCGGAGCTGCTCCTGGGAGGCAGCAGCGTTCGCAGCCCACGGGGAGAAAGACACCACTGATCACTGAGGGTCAACGTGAACCCATCACCACTTTCAGCTTTTTGCCTGGTAATAAGGGAATAAATACTTCAAAGAAATTTGCACGTAAGCAAGATTTACAGAAAACATAATTAATCTAACAGAACCACTGCAAAAGCCAAAACCTATTTCAATTCAATTACAGTTGAATTCCAAGGCCACTGGAATAAGTACAACTGTTTTAAAAAATAAAGCCTAACAGTGGCTTTCAATCTCTAAGAAGGGATTTATATTTCCTCTGTGCTATAACACTTTTTTTTTTTTTTTGTGATGCAACAACATAGTCAATTGCGGCTCTCTAATTCGGGATAATTAACACAGTAAACCAAGACATTTGTAGGAAGGACAATAAACACTTCTAAACCATCGTTGTTTCTTGGACTTTCACTGTTCACATCTACTTTGCAATTTCTATGGGCCAGAGCCTTAACTGGTGTGATAAAGCATAGCCCTTTTGAAGTGAAGACAGTGAAGGTACTCTGATGTATACACCTAAGTATCTAGGGGAGAAAAACCCAATAGGTCCAAAAAATCCAACTGCCTACTTCTCAAAAATTCCGTTATTCTGCATAAATATGCCTTGCTTTTTGCAAAGCATACATAATCTTTGGTTGCTTGATTTTTTCCCCAAGCCTTTTCAATCAGATTTTAAGTTTCTCTTCAGAGAAGCGAGGAGGAAATTTTCTTAATTTATTTTCCCAGGAAAGGTTCCTTTAAACTCTCAATAGCTGCACACACATGCACAACAAAGGGCCCCGACAGTGACCAAAATGAGAACCCTTGAAATATTGATGGTTTTAGAAAGAAAAAAAAAAAAAAAAAAAAAAAAAAAGAGTCCTGGTGTGTTCTTACTTCATCATCTTTATCCTCTGCAGAGACTGCTCAAACATGTCTTTAAAGTGCTGGTATAGCATAAAGGCATGTAATTGCTTCTCTGGATGCCTGGGCTACCACTTAGCAAAATAAGCCCAACGCAGGTAGGTCATAACAGCAGTGCAACACCCCAGACCTTCACCAATAAAATGACCCGCTCGAGAGATCGGATTAAACAACCACAACTGCAGTGCAACGGGCAGAATATTTAAAACCACACAAACCGCCCTAAGAAAAGGACAAGACTCATTGCCACAGATGCGTAAGACCTAGCTTCAGTCCTCGAACGCGCCATACCTGTGATATTTTTTCTGATTTTTACTTTTTTCCTGTAACATTAGGTAACGTTTACCTGTCTTAAAGATAGACTATGATGATAAAAATGCATTAATAGCAGATTATAAGCTAGCATAAGTGAAAAAGCACATTACAAGGATGTAAATAACGCCTAGAGTTACTCAACTGTATTAATCATCTGGAAAATTAAGCTTATTCACATCAATTCCCACATGATGCAGATATATAAAGTTAGGTACGTCGGGACTGAAAGCAAATAGTACCAACTGCACCTCCCCTGCCACAGTTTCTGGTCTGTTTGTGCACTGCTGGGTAAGTTGAAGAATCACCATCCAGAGCAGGATCCATCTCAATTTACCCTACAGCGGGCTGAGGGAC